TAAAAATTCTGTTCGTGTATGGTCTAATTTTACGACACTTCAGTAGTATATATTCGAATGCTGATGATTTAATGGTTTTTTTTTATGCAACAAACAATTGTAAAAAGAACTAACTTTATTAACTTAACTTTTATTAGGGAGCATGTTCATACAGATATATAGTATACTGTACAAAATTAAAAGCATAAAAAGTTCTGTAAATGTTATAATCATTGTTCGAAAAGTTTCTAGAAAAATCATGATCCACTTTTCTTTCGGAAAAGTTCAGTTAGATTTTTGTTACATGTAATTACCAAAATTATAGCGTCTTTTGTGTGATACAAGATAAACACGAAATAGAATTCATTATTAAGATAATTTGAAGTCATGATTATGTTGCATTCATTATTAGGCGATTCATTTTTTCTACGTTCATAAAAAGCTTTCATGAAAGTATTTATATTGAGCTATTTTTACTTGAATCTGTATCTCAAAAAAATTTTAATTAATATAAGAAATAAATTCCTAAAATACTCGTATAACTTAAACTCGTATTTGAAAACATGTCTCGTTCTCGATCTAAAATGGTTCAAAGAAAAAACTAACTTCAGAACGTCCTGCGTGTGGAATTTCACACTTATCGTAGATTTTCGGTTCAAATACCAGTTTAACAACTTTTTTCGGGAAAAAACATGAAATTTGTAAAACATGCTTTTTCAGATTTCCTCAAATTCTTCTCTTAGGCACAACTAATTACGTTTGCATTAATAAATAATATAAATTCCAGAGATGTCTTACTTATAAGAGGCGAATTTCAGAAATTACCGAAATTTAATAATAGAATTTCTGTTGTCGAATAGTAGTAACTTCTACAATCTCATCGTTTGCTAGAGCATTTCTGAACGATATTTTTCTACCTAGAAGTATTCGAAGTCAGGAAAAATTTATGAAATTTAAACATTATAGGACAAATATAATCATCAATGTTCATGAGATTGTTACGTATTTTGCAATACAATATCTTGCAGCAAAATTTTTTCTGGAGCAAATAAGTTATTTAACTTTGATTAAAGAAATTTTGACGGTTCTTTGAAACGACGAAAGTTCAAGTTTTTAAATTGTTCGAAAATTTTGTTTCATTCGCGAAACACGATTTTTAATAAGCATCAAAGTATAACTATAGCAAAAAAACTGACTTTCTTCAGTTTGGTTCATGAACTGTTGCTACGAATTTTGATCGTTATCAAGAGAAGCTGTTTGAAAATTGAAGAGGCTCTATCGTATCTGTATTTTTCAATTAGGTAGAGTATTGCGCTGAAATGTTTTTCCTGTATCAGTAATCGAATATTCGATTCTATGCTGACATTAATTCTACATAATTATTTTTTTTCAAGTAAAACTCTTTATTCATTCAAACAAGTTCACAATTGATTAATACAATATTGAATTCCCAATTCTATTCTTCAAATACTATTCAATCTGGAATATATTTCATATGATACAAAACAAGGCAAATAAAAAGTAACGTTGTTAGCATGAATGGTTTTGATGGTTTGTGGATATTGTAAGCTGCACTTATATACACAGAGGCATGACCTTGGTATCTAAAGTTAGTTTTCAGCCAGAAACTCACACTGTAATTATTCCCTTGAGTTGTATTGATTACTTGGGACAAAGTTATCGTTGAGAAGAAAGCATCAGCTTCGCATGCATAGTGACCTGAATATGTATCTGAAAAGGTGATTTGAGCGTTTGACAAGCCTCCACCACATGAACAGTATGCAGTAAGTGTGCCGCTTTCAAAATCTCCATCTTGCATCAATTCGGTATTGTCTGTTATATCATAAATCGACACATTATCAAGACTCCATTTATTACCTTCAGCAAACGTGAATGTAATGATATCTCTGTTTGATTGACCCGTGTATCTGTCTTTGAAATTTAAATATTTCCCATCTATCATTTTCTGAATTCTAATCAATTGAATAGTTTTCTTATTTTTTGTAGAACACGATTCTCCTGTAAAAAAGAAGTCGTCAAATTGTCACTAATTGTGCTGTTCTAGGAAACTCTTTTGTATTTCAAAAAAGAGATGAATCGATTATGCGATGGCTATGCATAAGGCGTCCCTACCACCAATCAGAGAGTTTTATTTTGTTCCAAAGTTTTGGAATTATCAAACTTTAAATCTAGCCAAATATTCTATATTTTTATTCAACAGCAAGCTATTATCTTTTGATGTCTACGATAAATTTTGCTTTTTATTTCTGTAAAGATGGTTTAGAAAACTTCACAGCCTGACATAAATTTAGTAAATTTCAGTTATTCAAGCCTGTTGATCATATTAATAAGTTTCTGCCTTTATGACCAGGATTCATATATTTAAGAAAATATGTGCTCTATGCTTCACTTTCAAGTGATCTCTCGAAAATAGATCTATACACGATAAAAATACCGATACTAAAAGTAAAGTCTGGTTTGAGTGTTTTTCTCGAAATAGGTTATACTTGGGCTTCCTACGTAACATGGCCATTTTACATTCAAATAAGCTTAGGACTATTTTCAATCGAAGAGCAAATTGTGCTCTAGAAGTTAGCATCGTTGAGTTTATCTGTTTCTTTTTGATTTCATTTGTAAGAAAAAGAAACGTTTTTTGTTCAAAGAATCCATTTCAAACTTTGCCGACTTTTGGAAAAAATTTTACACTGTGCGGTAGCAGCAGAAAGGTTTGTATATATCTCTACATCAATCTTGAACCCCTATCATTATATTTGAAAGATAAATTTGAGAAACATTGAACTATTAAAACCTATTAATACATCTCCTGAAAACTTCAGTCTGATCGGTTGTTATGCCAGAAAAATAGACATACTTCTGATTAGTGAGTGACAACCTTTATTCGAAACGTACGAGACTAAGGTCAGCCTGAAAAGATTTGGCTCGAACAAAATGATCATTTTTAAAAGAGATGAAATTTTGGTACTAAAAATTTCGAGTTTTCTTTCATGTGCTCATATAGTAACCTCCTTAAATTGACTAAATAGATATTTTCAATATTTTATGTTTTATAAAAAAAATTTTGAACGTTTTCAAAATAGCTTTAGAATATTTTTACAAGACCAAAAAATACTCGCACTGTACATGTCTAGCCTATTTTAATATGTGATGTGTGCTCATTTATTCTCTTAGAATCAAGTCTTTTTATTCAATTTAATTGTGAAATACTGAAAGAAGTATCTTTGAAATCATCTGCACTGATCAGTTTCATTCAAATAATGTACATACCTGATCCGGATGGACTGTTGCACCCGACGTTCAATCCTGTAGGAGAATTTTTTGCTAATAATATTCCAGCAATGGTCACCATTATAATGACAACAATGGCCAAGGAGCAGCCTGTTATTTCGATCCAATATCGTCGACAAGTTTTACAATTGTTTTGAGTTTGATAAATAGACGTGTTGTTATAGTGATCAATAATCGGGATGAGATTTTCAGTACTGAGTGTAGCAGAAGAAAAAACTTCTGCAGATAGAGAATTCGTTTGACACTGGTCAAACAACGATGTTTCAACTTCGTGTTGACATTGTGGTTCATTTATAGCAATTCTAGAATCGAATCTTCGTTCGATGCTATCATTTCTCGATGGTTCATCCATCTTCTGAACGTTTGATTTAATTGTATTCACCGATCGTTTATGCTTACCTCCTGTTGTTGTTGTTGCGTGGGCAAGCTCTTGTTTAAAGAGAAGAATGTGTCGTGCAACTTTTTTTAATTCTTCAGCATCAAATATTTTTTTTCTTTTATGACAGAGGCTTGAAAAAATTGCATTTTTAGATTCGTTTTCGTCGTACATAGTCTAACATTTATTTTTTTCTTTCTGTTCTATTCTTTAATCATGTATAAGCAATAGTGACTAATTATGAAACTCTTGTAAGTATTCAGCACTATTGACTTCTTTCTATTTACCATGAAAATGGTTGGTAATGGAAATAGAAAAGAAAAACATAAATGATTGGATGATATGCTTTGCATTGGGTAAGATTTATTTTGGAACCGTAGGTTCACATCAAAAACATGCCAATTTTATGACTGAAATAATGATTTTTTTTAACAAAATAAACATAAATTTGTCATTGATTTTACATACGTTTATGTTATCATTCATTGTCATCAGAGTCTTGCAGGGTAAGACTTTTTTGTATCCTATACCCTATCATAATACAGTTTTCGGATCCTTTTTCGTATTTTGTGCAAAGTAAAATGTGCAAATATATAAAGACTGGCCAAGCAAAGCACAAAATTGTTATAGAACGTGTAGTCCCATCATGCCTTCTGTTCACCAATAGATGCCAAGAAGAGAAAGCATAGGAAAAGTAAATAGTAATATGCACTTTAGTCTTGAAGCATTGCTAGTATACCATTACTATAGTGATTAGAAAGAAGATATGACTAATCCACGGATTTATATGACTTTTATACGGTCAAAAAGAAGAATAATTCATACTAATATAATAACCGATCTGATCTGGCGGTTTAGGCCGATGTAGATAAGGAAAAAATCCTACCAATTTCAGCTTGGTCTTCGTAGTACTCATATAGCTAAATAATAGCTCGATTGCTTGACACTGCAATCTATTTTATAAATTATAATGCATTATTTCACGTATAATCCATTGTAGTTCGTTATTTTCAAACAAAATGCATTGAAATCAGTGACATAGGTTGCATTCCAGAGACCGAAACTGAATCGAATAAAGCGAATTCGAATGAAATTTTTCTTATTCTTTTCTGTTTCTGTTACATTATCATGTAAGTGCATCCATTATTTCCATAGCGACTACATGGATAATCTTTTAAACCAGATAGATGGCAACAATATCTTCAAAGTTGCTTGCCAAAAAATGTCAGATATATGAACAATTCTCGCATTCCACTCTAGCTATTTTTTACCCCCCTTACCCTATAGGAGTCTGGATGCGTCTATTCATGCTGATTATTTGTCTCAATTCATATCTGACATGCAAGTATCGACTGTCAATACAAATGGAGTTATTGTTATTAAAATCGAGTATCTATCATGTTCACCAACATTCACAGTTCGTTCTCGTAAAGCGTCAATAATTTTACAAATTGAAAAGCTACAAGATCTAGCATTAAAAGACTATATTAATACTTCATGTACAGGAAATCTTGAATATGAAATTCCTGTTGAAAAGTTAGACGGCGACATAGTGTTTGATTATCAATCAATGAAACAACATTTCGAAAATGGTCTTATTACTATAACATTATCAGCTTTAAACGACGAATTTTAATTGACTTTTATTGTTTACGAACGAACTATGTGTAACGGACTCTGATCGAGTGAATATCCTTAATATTAAGACATTTGCTTTATTTGGCGTCTTGACAATTTCAATAGTTTCATCATACACAGAACGTACAAATAGTAGAATATTAGAATAAAGAGTGTGGATGTGAGTGCGTGTGTGTGCGATGTGAGTGTAGAGAAGGTCGACTTCCATAGCCACACCCTAGTTGAGTTTATCATGCTGAGAATAGTCATTAAAAAACATCGTGAAAGCTGTACTACACGTTGATCTGAATGATAGCTTTTTCGAAAGAAAAAAAGTAGAACATAGATTATACTGTGAAGGAGTGATTAATACACCACTGCGTTTGATTAAAAAAATATAGATCCCTTTTAATGTGATAGGAATAGTGAAAAAAGCCTCTTTCGCTCTTATTCATTTGGGAAGAAAAAAATATGTCGATTCTACACGCTTTACTATTTATCCTTCTGTTAAACTTGATCAATGGTCAATCAACAAGCGAAAAATGTAGCAATGGACATAATCCATTAACCCACGCACGATGCAAATCGAATGGTGAAGGTTGTCCAGCAGACACTTATTGTCAACTGAATATTTTGCGTTGCTGCCCGATTATGTGGACAAATTTCAATCGTCCTTTCAATGTCAAGAACATCAATGCTGGAGGCGTACCATAAAAAAAATCACCAAGCAATAATTCGCTAATCATATATGTTTCTATTATTGCAAGCGTTTATTTGAAAACGAAATAAAGAATATTTTCTTTTGATTGACCTTACACAAGTCTAATTAGATGCAATGGTGCTACCATCTTCAGATACTTAGTGATTTTCAATGACGGACTATTGATAACGAGAAAAAAAATTGATACATTTTTCTGTTTAGATTTTTTACGCGCATGCCACCAAAAATAGAATTATTATCGTCATCTGTCAATATTCACATGCAAGCTTTTTGGTTATTTCGTTCTTGCTCGTGTTCGTTTAGAAACAATGCAAAATAACATTCGTCTTATTGTGACGAGATCACACTTTCGATAAAGTTTGTCTCACCAATCTATATTCAAATATAAAAGTAGATTTACTCGACACAACAGTCAAGCTTGAGACAAAATAATAAGGTCAATAGAGTATTTTTCTAGTTATTGTATCAAACGAGTTCACTGTGCACGGGATGGGTGTGGATATGATTGTGTAGATATAGGCATGCGTGTGGGTGCTCGTCCTTAAATGAAGCCACACTCACATTCACACGTACACCCACTTTTCACTACAGTCGATCCATACGTTCATTCATACAACTGCGAATAATTCAACAAATGCAAACCCTTATGATCATACAAAATAAAAAGAATATATGTCATATGTAAAGAGAAAAAGTCTTCAAACACTAGAAAGAGAATGGGAAAGACTATTGACATAAAGATAACAAGAAGAATGACAAGAGTTATTGCAACACACCCTGTAAGAAAAAAACAGCAATCAAACTGACATGATGTAAATATGAGGATACAATTTCCTTGGGAAAATCAAACTAAGAAATAAAATCAAAATGATCGTTGTATCTTCATCATTTCATTAGAATTAAAAATAATCAAGTTTAGATGTAGGTGCAGCTGTGGATGTAGGTATCTCTGTTCTTACATCCATATCCGATGAAGCTTCGCTGTCTACCAGACTGAACTAGTTTCAGTAGTATGATGGTCAGGTTTCAACTTAAACTTGAAGGAATTATGGCCATATTTTTAATACAAATATCTTTCAATAACTAAACGGAAATTCTTTATGTTTAAAGAAAGGTGATCATATAACTTTACGATGAACATTGTCCACGCCGATAATATGCATAGAAACATGTGTTGCACACATCTTTTCCGCAACCTTGACAGCTACCTATTGCATCATTGTCACACAATAAGCATTCTAGCACGCATTTTGGGTATAGGTGTGGGTGTGATTGAAACGAAGCCTCGCATCCACACTCAAACCCACACGCACCCACACTTTACATCCATACCTTGCCTATACAGAATCTACTTACAGTGTTTTATGATGCATTTGAGGTTTATAATTATATACAAGAAGTTATCGTTCCTTGACTCAATACCTCAAGAGTATCCATATTTGTGAATAGCTAAACAACCATGGTCAATTCTTGTAACCTATTCAATGATTTTTATTTTTAATAAAAAATATGGCTTACGTATCGTAGTTAAATATCATTCCAATTCTCCTAGTACACAATATCAACTAGAATAAAGGTTTCCAAGTGATGTGGGTGACGGTATTCTGTAAGCCACAAAGTTATTTTTAACTTAGTATTGGTTTAAGTAGCAAATAGAATAAAGACTTTTATGACTGTATTAGTTGTACTACTGTTAATAAAAAGGTTACATACTAATAGCTCTTGTAGCGTATCGTTACAATCAACGAAAAAAAATCTCGAAAAATCAGGAAATAAAAATTGATTGTAATAATTTCTGCTGCGAGGCGTGTACTAATCAAAGATATTTTATCGTCACCGTTTTTTTTTTACAAACATAATTTTATTGAAGATTACAAAAAAGTGAATTCTCTACTAGTGAATATTTTTATATTCTGAAAATTAAACAGCTTCGTGAGTTGCCTCTTACAATTATAACCTTTCTAATGTAAATATATGTGCATGGTTTTTTTTATCTCTTCCAACTATATATCACGTGTCTCATGTGTACTATGACTATACATACTTTATCTATGAATCCACTGTTGTATGTATGAAAAAAATAGTGACATCAGCGTGCAAGCTAAGGTTTCAACTAAAAGGTGAAATTTATTATTGAATTAAGATCAAAACTAATTGATATTTGTATTAATTCAAAAACAAAAAGGCAAAAAACATTGAAGATTTTTTTAAAAAAATCAATTTTATTTCATCAGTAAAGAGTCTTTCAAATTCATACTATGTAGACGACATCGGACAAATAAGAGCATAAACCTCTAAACCTTTATCTAAAACTAATGTAAATGCAGATGTTCTGGAAGCTTCTCTTCATTTCATATTGAATTATGCGTCAACTCTTTAAACTATACACATCTGATTAATGAAAGATTTTTGTTAACGATCTTCATAATATTCAACACAGAGAGGTTCTATTGTACGTTTATTCTCATTAAAGTGTTAATATTTAAGAAGTTACTCTGGTGCAGAGAGAGAAAACAATCATTTATAAGTGCATTATGCTCGATTGAAAATTAATTATACACATCATTCAAATTCGTAGTACTAAAGATGAATCTAGAGATTCTCGAGCTCTGAAAAGCGAATACATCTAAAATTGTGAACAATATTGTTTCATCATTTTAAATTCTATTCTCTTGCTTTCCTTTCATAAACTCAAATGATAGGATAGATACATAAACAATCTGTTATTGAGACTATGACTGAGACTCGAACTCGTTAGTTCCATGCCAGATTCAGAATGATACAAGAAAACCATAGTAAGACAATCGTGTGTAAAAACCACATAATAGGTTTATACTTTCTTTCAACAGTGGTACATTTAAATGCAATTCTCAATTTGACACTAGACAGGAAGTTAATTTGAATTCAAAATATGAAAATTCAAATGTGGATTTAGCATCCGTGGAAGAGATGTATCTTTCACTATTCATTATTAATGAAGCTCTCGATAATTCCAAAATATCTCATCGTCTATGATAAAGTATGTATATATTTCGTGTTACGCTGTAGATTTGTGCGGAAAGTTTTAGAAACTTCTGTGCAATGGCGTCATGTTCACTTGAAATGAAATGTCAGAAATCGTTTTAGCCAATCTTATGCAATGTAACAAAGTGTTACTGCTTTTTATTTTCTCATGAAGAATTTCTCATTGAGATGATTTTAATCCAACAAATCTGGCATTGTCTTTAGAATTTTAGCATATAAAATTTCTTGCTGACTCATCGGAATACATATAAAATTTGAACCAAAAAAAATCCTTCATCATTATTTCTCTATGTTGGTTTTGTCGACGGTCGCCTTTAATTCTTTTTTATTCGCTGTCATGTATTTTGTAACGTTGACGTAACAATGACAGCGCAGTATTTTTTCTTCTATTTTTCTTCCCAGCTATCGGTTGACCGTAATTAAGCTCGCTACGAGCATCGAAACGCAAATACACGACGATGACAGAGCATTTTTCTTTGACAACTGTTGTTACCCATGCTTAAACACACCTTCATCTGTATATATATGTGTGTTTTAATTTTTTTATCGATGTCTCAATGGGTTGTTCATCAAGCGTTTCCTCACAGCAACCAGTTCACAGAACGAACAATATACAAGTAAGTATCGAAGAAAAGATTGATTTTCGAATTAGCATATGAAATGTTCAATTGATTAAAGTCATCACTCAATAAACGGGGTGCGATCATTGTATATGGCATGGTACAATCGCCTGCTACTCAACGTGTATTGGCTACGTTGACAGAAAAAGGTCTCAAGTTTGAATTGAAAATTATCAACCTAATGGCCAAGGAAAATCTGGTAGGAAATACGCGATATTTGTCTCATTTGCATACATATATATATTGAATAGAGTCGTTCATATTTGGAAAAACAACCATTTGGTACCATTCCAGTACTTGAAGATGCTGATGGCTTTACAATCTATGGTTAGTTCATACACTAAAAAACAAAACTTACAGATTCAAATAAATAATACTGATTGAATTTTTTTTTTCATTTAGAATCTCGCGCCATTTGTCGGTATTTAGAAATGAAATACAAAGACAAAGGCACAGAATTGATTCCAAGAGGCAATGCGAAAGCTGAAGGTCTTTTTGAACAAGCTGCATCCATTGAATCGTCTTATTTTGATTCACATGCTAATAGTATTGTTGGTGAACGAATCTTCAAAAAGTAGGATAATAAGATCTTCTTTTTTAAGTCTATTTAATCATATTCTGGTATCTAGAATGCGAGGAGGTGAGCCAGATATGAACAAAGTAGCAGAATTACGACGAGATTTGGCGGAAAATTTGGATGTCTATGAAAACATTTTATCTTCACAATCATATCTGGGCGGAAATGTAAGTGAAACATTTCTATATTGAATAGTATCATATAAACAAATTTATTTTGATTAATTAGACGTTTACTCTTGCTGATTTATTTCATTTACCATTGGGTTCACTGCTTGTAAAATGTGGTGAAGGTGAACTATTTGAATCTCGACCACATGTCAAACAATGGTGGAACAAGATTTCAACACGACAGGCATGGAAAACTGTTCAAACAATGACATGAAATCCAATCATACGAACATATAGGCTATCTATTTTTTCTCTTTTATTTAAAATAAAACCTTAAGACTAAATCTATAGTCGAATGAATTCAAAATTTGTCTGTAGTATTGATGAATTGCAAATATCGACATGTTTCTTCGCTAGCAATATTTCTTGTGTGTGAGCACAATGGAGAATTGTGCAAGTATAATCGAGAATGCAAATCATGTTAGAACTTAAAAGTCATCCACTAAAACAGAAGAGAAATCATAAATTTTGTTAGTCATCATCAGCATGGTTTAACCTGCATCTACTTTATTCTACTAAGGCAAAAGAAAAAAACGATCAAACAAGTGTAAGATACTGAGTCGAATGAGAGACAATTTTAATACTTCTTAATATTTGAACATGATTAATTCTGTTCAGTGTTACTGCAGTAAATTTCGATCTAACTAACATGCATAATTGAATGTCTAATCATTCGGATTGTATAGGAAAACCTAGTTTTTCAATTATAGAATTCGAGAATGTTCTATCCATTTGAGCACAATTCATAGACTATTGCCAACTACAGATAGGTTTTCAAAACTTGCTACAGGTCTAATGATATTGTCTTGATGAAAACTAACTTTAGAATGTACTCATACTGTAATCGTCAATGAATTCATTAGTACTTTGTAAAAAACTTCTAGGCAACGTCCAGTTGCAAATAATCAACAACAACAGGAACGGAAATTGTCCATTTTTAACGGATCAAATGTTCTGTCTGATCAATCTAGATGTATTGCGCTAGTAATAAGTAATCCCATCTTATTGAAGTTTACCTTGTACAAGTAGATCATAATACATCAGATCGGAAATTCGATGAAAAACTCCGAATACAATAATCTAAGATCCATTCTTGACTTATTCGCAAATTATCGGCAGTCAGATTGTGTCTCTTTTTCTACAAGTCGAATGTTACACTTTGATGCTATAATGATAAAAATGTCAACATCCTGCTAATTATCAAAATTTCGCTTTTCTCTTTTTCTTCATGGTGTGTTTCTTCTATGTCTATATATTTAGGTTCAATTGACTTTTTTTTTCTACCTGTAAATGACGAATTTCATCCATAAAATATACACTTCTTCTCGAAATAGCAAGCTCCCTTTTATGAATTCATTGGTCTCAAAATTAGAACTTTTGTTCGTATATTTAAATCAAAAATTGCCTAGTTTTCACCATCTTGAGTTGAAAAACCTTAAAATACTGAAGGAAACATCATTGTTAGGCTTTTATAACTCACTATTCAAATCCTCAAAAACTATTTATTTTTCGGTTGCAAGCATGTTTTCAATTAAAAATTATAAAAATAAATGAAACCCAATAGAAGAACCGTCCCAAAAGTGTATAAGCTTAGACATAATATGCTAAAGACTTAGTATCTGCTATTGCGGCAGTGATTCCTTTTATTTGTCTTATTTTGTCAGTGTTAATCTTTGGATAAAGCATTATCTTATCTGTATTGCTTTTTACTCTTATATATTAATATTTGTTGTTCTTGTTCTTTTGGGTGAATTCAACGAAGTTTGACCACTTTTCTGAAAGAATTTCTTTTTTTACAAATTCTCACTTTCAGTCAGACGAAACAATCGAGAACAGTTGACGATAAAAAAAAACTTTTTTGATGCATTAATTATCAAAACTTAGCACACCTTTTTTAAACATCTAGGCTTGTGCAAATGTCAAAGAATTGAGCGAAATAAGTGGAAATCTATCTTAGTTTGAAGCGTGTACTTCCAGGTTGTACATGTACTTACAGTATAGATAGAAGTTTACATGAAATCGAGTAGCTAGAGTGAGGACATTGATGGTCGTATATATGTCGACGTATACAAGTCTAGCACTCACATTCTAGATTAGATTTCTAGGACCTCACCAACTTGTATGCACCATAAATAGTTATCAACGTCTTAGTAAGATCTTACGTCGAATCTCGGATATCTCTCGATTAACTATTTTTGTTAGGAAATTATACGAAAACTTACTGGTTTAGAATCTTATATAAGACGTTAACAAGAAAATTTTTATTAGTATTTAATTTGACAGACATCAGGATTCATTGCTAATCAGTGGATAACGTTTGACTAGCTAGCAAAGACCTTGTTCGAATTAACCGTCCTATCGAAGAGCTGAAGCTATCATATTGCAAACTTGAATTGTTCTGTGCGAATTTTTCTCAAGCGATTGAAGATACTGGCATGTCTTTGTTTGTTTATCCATACAAAAGTCTTTTTTTTATTCATTTATTCATATTGATTATTTTGTTATACTTAGACCATTCTGTTGCACGTTTCATAATAACTTCATTGCTTCAAACATTAAAGATTTCTGGAAAGATTTATTGAAATAAATATTACCCAAGTCACAGTCAACATAGAAATGCTCCTTCGATCAATTTATACTTAACATTTTGTTAGACTATAATGGACCACTTGAGTGTTTCAACTATACTACGAGAAGATAATTCTGTAACAGAAACTTGCGTACATCCTCTTGTTAGTTTGCTTCAATTCGTCAGATACTTACCTAGAAATATATGGTTACATATTCCTAACTAACGATCCATATGGAAATACAAAGTACTTTTACTGAATAAATTTTCTATTAACGTATCTTAATATATCTTGGGTGATACTCAATATTTTTTTTTAGATATTTACATATGCATGATTTATTTCTACGAGTGCCATCTATCAAAAAGATACTTTTGCAACTTAAAGAAAAGAATAACTAGAGTTAACCCAAAAAAAAAAATTTAATTTACAAGTAGAGAAAAAGAATGATTTCTGTAAAAAATATTTATCGAATGAAAATATTGCATGTCTGTTTTTACGACCTAATTTCATCATAATACTATAACACTTCATTGAGTCTAGATTGGAGACACAAAAAGAAAAGAAAAATAAATAAATATTTTCATAATGCATTAATTCGATTGTTGAAGTAACAGAACATCGTAAGAAATATAAAAAAAGAAACAAAAAAACAACATGGGACAATAAAATTGAAAGACGGCTATTTTTGGTATTGAAAATACATTATGTTGGGCGGGAACGAAAAACTATGCACATTAAAAAGTATTGTTCGTCGAATGACTAGGTTATAAAAATATTCAAGCTTTTATTGAGAACAAAGCAACTAACATTCCTCGACGACCTGTAGACGAAGTTAGTAAAGACAAAATATAGAAATTGAGCTAAAATTTGAGCAAAATATTGTTATGATGTTAAACAAACATGCACTGTTCTTTTTTTTTCTCTGCAGAAGTAATCACTTTCAATAACCTGTAAACATGATACATGCAAATTGAGCACATTTCTAGCTGTAGCATCATGTTATCTATAACTTATTTCAGTTGCTCAAGATATTTGTTTTAATTAAGATAAACTTGTCTTATGCATTCACGTTTCTCGTGTTTGTTATATACAATAATATTTTCTTTTCAAATATTACAAGTACATTCTGCTGTGTAATAATCATATGCCCATCTGGAGAACAGTCCTATTTTAGCAATATGTTTTTGAGTGTGATATCATGAAATGTTTTTCTATATATTAACAGAGTTTTATTTCATAAAAAGGGCATTGTTACTCAAAATACCATTTCATATATTCATTTAGCTCGTTTGTAAAATAACGTTAACTTTTCTTTTTGTAGATTTGGAATTGAAATGCTGTTTTATACAAATGTTTTTTTTTCATGAGCCGTGTGAAACATGACTGTATCTTACATGGAAACTTGAAGGAGGACAAACTTCTATATTCATCTATCCCATGAGCAAGAATTGTTTTTTGTTTGTTGCTATGGATTCATTGTTTAATAATCACCATACGAGAAACCAAAAAAACCTTCTTTCTTATTTATTTGATCAATAGTCTTTTGATCATCATCCAGTTTTTTTTAATCAATCTCAGCACACGATAAAAGTGAATCATGTCCAACATCACCATCATCAGTAAAAGAAAAAAAAAATCTTTTTATAAACATGTACGGGTTCGATTGAAATAAAAAGAAATTGCAATCAGACTCATCTAATAGAATTCAGTGACATTCCATTTTAATATATTTTTCTTTCTATTTTGGCACAAGTATGACATTTAGTTTGGTTATTTTTTAGAAACAATGAAATCGGTTTTTAAGAGAGAAGTTTGTACGACATGTTTGAAACTATCCGAAGCCTTTATTTGTCGTGGATGTCAACAACCATTTTGTGCAAAACATGTCAATCGACATCAGGAAAAAATTACCAAAGATATGAACAGTCTTGTTACTAAATGTGATCGATTACGCGATGATTCCAAAACCGAGAAATTTGCTCAACAACTTCTATCCAGTATTGATCAATGGGAAAAAGAATCAATAGAAAAGATTCGATTGACTGCTCAAACGGCTCGGACTGATTTAAGGCCATGGATTGAACGAACAAAGAATGAACTCGAAATTCCCTTTAAAAAAATGCTCGATGAACTTCAAACAAGAAGAAAATTACAAGATTATACTGAAATTGATTTAAAACGATGGAGTTCACAATTGGCAGAATTCAGTGAAAAACTTAAACAACGACCCGTTATAGAATATATCGACTATCACGACACACAAGCAATTCATTTGATTAGAATTATCGATCGTTTAAGTTTTAACTCATCATGTAGTACTGATCCTACCAATTCTTTTTCGGACAGAAGTTTCAATCATTCTCAAGAGTCACCGACTTTGGAACGGGAATCATTTGGAGAAATTTTTGGAGCAGTTACATTATCCGAGAATGATCATGTTGCTACATATAGTGGTCCTTGGATTGGTGATGCTAGTGTATGTGGCACGAATACTTATTCAACTGGAGTACATAATCTTCGTTTTCGTATTACGGAAAAATTCTACAATGCACCGTTTTTTGGTATTTCTACTGTATCTCAACCGATGATCGAACACATGATTACATCACCATCGACGAATGGTTGGTCGAATTTCGATTTTTCAGTAGTCAACGGTAGAGAAGAGCGGGAGGGAAAAGATCGTATTATT